ATGTATGTATGTATGTATGTATGTATGTATGTATGCAAATACAGCAACTACAAAGAGAAAACATACATTTGCCTTTCTGAGACTGGCTTAACTTGATCTGATGCAGCTCCAGCCGCAGCAACTTTCCTGCCAACAACGCAGCTTCCTTATGCCTGTAAGACTTTGGTGTGAATCTCTGTCAGACTCCTCTCTCCACTGCTCTGTTGCTCACCACCCTGCTTGGGTTCATCCTAGCTGCTGTGACAGTGCTGCACAGCACTGTTGAGTACTCCACACACTGACTGGACCTTCAGAAACACAGGAGTGACGGTGCTGCACAGCACTGCTGAGTACTCCACACTCTCGGGTCTGCTTTTTCTGTTTGCTTCTTTGTTCGTCTGAGCAACCTGCATACTGACTCCACAGTGCTAGACTAGTTTAGGTTTCCACCAGCAGCGTCTGCGTCCCCTCTCACTCCCACATCCTCACCAGCATTGGCTGTCTATTTTCTTGCTTTTTTTTTTTGCGCCTTTCCTGGATCTCGCTCTGTAGACCAGGCTGGCCTCGAACTCACAGAAATCCGCCTGCCTCTGCCTCCCAAGTGCTGGGATTAAAGGCGTGCGCCACCACCGCCCGGCTGGCTGTCTATTTTCTTAACTGTCATTCCTGACTGCAGTGAAAAGGAAGCTTGGTTTTTGTTTGCTTTAGACAAGGCCTCACTCTGGGTTGTGGTTGGCTTGGAGTTCACAGAGATTCGCCTGCCTCTGCCTCTTGCAGTACTGGGATTAAAGGCATGCACCACCACCATGTCGTTTGGATTTGCATTTGTATGGTGGCTGGTGAAGAACAATTGTTTCCTTATGTTTATGAGAGATACATGTTTAATGCCAATCTCAGGGACTGTTAACGACTCAGTCTGCTTCATTTGTCTACTTACTAGTTGAATTGTTTGATTTCTTGTTGTTTAACTCTTTGTATACTCAGGTATTAGTCTTCTGTCTGGTGCATAGCTAGCAACTGCCTCCCGTTCTGTATCTCTTCACCCAATCAACTGCCTCCCATTCTGTAGACTCTCTTCACCCAATCAACTGCCTCCCGTTCTGTAGACTCTCTTCACCCAATCAACTGCCTCCCGTTCTGTAGACTCTCTTCACCCAATCAACTGCCTCCCGTTCTGTAGACTCTCTTCACCCAATCAACTGCCTCCCGTTCTGTAGACTCTCTTCACCCAATCAACTGCCTCCCGTTCTGTAGACTCTCTTCACCCAATCAACTGCCTCCTTTGCTGTACAGAAGGCTTTTCATTACATGAGATCCTATTTGTCAGTGTTGGTCTTATTTCCAAGTGAGGGGAGCCCCGTTCAGAAAGCTCTTGCCTGCACCTATTTCCTTATTTTTTCCTCTATCAGTTTCATAGTTTCAGGTCTTACATTGAGCAGATCAGGGATTTGTAAAACAAGTTTGTAATATTATAAGCAGAGCATGGAAAAATATTATTAGGGAGAAAAAGAAAATGTCCCACCACTTGGAGGATAAGGATCTTCACAGGTAGAGCACCAATGCAAGCAACATCAGTAAGTGTCACAAAATGCCTATATTAAAGTTGACAGCAGATCTGGTAAGCTCCCCACACCATCCCAGTGCTTTAAAGAAACAGCCAAGCCTGTGTTGAGTGAGGGTAGCTTTGGCTCTTGCCTCGGCTCCCATGAGTGGATGGTGGGCCAAAGGACTAAGTCACGGAGATGCACATTTCACCTCTGCTGAACATACACAAACCACCACTCTGCTAAGCATTACTGCCTATGTAATGAAAGAGAGAAAGGTTCAATGCCAGAGATCAATCTTGGTAAAACCACTGGGGCCATGTGCTCAGACAATGTCCACAGAAGAATGAGCCAGACCCAGGACTGCGCCACCAGGGAGATCAGAGAAGATACACTAGAGAGAGACAGGAGTCTGAACTACATGGTACGGCAACAGTTCTGTACCATGGTGCCTGTGGTACAGGGCATGGCTCCAACTCCCACAAGTGAGCCAGCATATCTGAAACCTGTGTCCCTAGAAGCTGTCTGGGTTGCCAACATAGGTCTTCTGAGTCACAGAAAAGAGGAACTAATTTTAAACTGTGCCTACTACGAACGCTTTCAGAGAAACCTGCAGAGGTAAGGTTCTTGCAGAGAGGATCTGAGTTCAATTCCCAGCATCCATGTTGGGTAGCTTACAACTGCCTGTAACTCCAGCTCTCAGGGATCCAACCCTTTCCTTCTAGCCTCTGTGAGCATCTGCACTCACATGTACATACCATACACAAATACACAAAGATACACATAATCTAAAATTCAATTAAAAATTTGAAAGAGTTTATTCAGTGTATTTATTCAGTGTACAGGGGTATATATTCAAGTATATGCATGTGAGTGTATGTACGTGTTCATGTATACGTGTGTGTGAGTGTGTGAGTGTGTGTGTGTGTGTGAGTGTGTGTGTGTGTGTGTGTACGCGCAATATCAAGGTTGGTGTTGGGTATCTTCCTCTATTTCACTCACCACCTTATTTCTTCTGACAGGTCTCTTACTGAACCTGGAGCTTGTTGATTCAGCAATGCTGGCTAACTGGTAAACTCTCAAGATCCTTCTGCTTCTGCCACTCTAGCACTGGAATTACAGGCACCCAACATGGCTTACGTCTTTATGTGTGTGTGCTGGGGATCTGAACTCAGCAAGCACTTTATCCACGGAGGTATACCCCCAGCCCTTAAGTGTGTTTGTAATTTATTGGCAATCCCACCACAAAATGAGATGGAAATCAACACCTGACCCACTAACATGCCAAGAAGACGTTAGACAAGTAACTTGGGAAAGATAGTCAGCACCTGTCCCAAACCATCCAAAACAGACAAGGTAAAGTAAGCCTGGTGGCCTGTTACCATGTGGGGTTTAGGGTATCAGCCAGGCCGCCCCACTGTCCCCTGAAAACTCGACTTCCACATTACATGTTCTACACAACCCCACCTTCCATGAGGTCAGGAATTTTTTTTTTTTTTTTGGTTTTTCGAGACAGGGTTTCTCTGTGTAGCTTTGCGCCTTTCCTGGAACTCACTTGGTAGCCCAGGCTGGCCTCGAACTCACAGAGATCCGCCTGGCTCTGCCTCCCGAGTGCTGGGATTAAAGGCGTGCGCCACCACCGCCCGGCGAGGTCAGGAATTTATACAGTAAAAGGTAAGACTCAAAGAGAGGCTAAGCTTGGGACAGATAAATCTGAACCAAAGCATAACTGTCCTTTCATTTATCCAGCAATCCATCCACTCACAGAGGTATCTAGAAGCTCCATTTGCGTGTAACAAGGGAGCCAACATTTGATAATTTAGTAATTTCTCTCAGCCTTAATTTCTCATCTACAAAGCATAAAATTGCTTTGTATATTTAAGGTTCTCTTGAAGATTAAAATAAGGAAAGTTTCTGACACATGCCAAACTTTATTATAATGTTAATTCAATTCTGTAATATCCTATTTAGATCTGTTACCTAAGATTATTTTAAGTGAATCCTGATTATTTATAACAATCTACAATAATGTTATTTCTGCCATGATTTCCTAAATCTCCCTGTAAAAAATTATGAACTAAGCCTAAGTTTAGTTTTAAACCTCAGAAACCCACCTAAGTTGGTAATATCAGCTATACATACCTGACATAGGCCCTGCCCTGTGGAAGAACCACAGGACGTAAGTCAAGACCCTCATTTAGTTAGTCACTGTAGCCTAGATTGATACGTGTATGTGTGGTGTGTGTGGTAATGCCATCCGTGCACCGGGAGGCCACAGGAAAAGGGCAGGTGTCCTACTCTATCACTCTTTGCCCTATTCCTTAGAAACAGGGTCTCTCACTAAACAGAAGGGGTAGGCTGTTAGGCCAGCAAGCCCCAGCAATCCTCCTGCATCCACCCTCCACATTATTAGGACTCTGAAGCACCAGCAAGCTTTTTCATAGACTTGTACTCAGGTACTCAGGCTTACACAGCAAGTGCAAGATCTCCCAGAGGAGTCACCTCCCCACCCTGACTTCTTTGCTCTCCCTCAGGACTGCTGGAACTGCAATGGGTACATACATGATCTGACACAATGGGGGGGAGGGCGCTACAGGGAGTTCTGTGTCTGAAGAAAAGAGCATGAGGAAGTAGGATGTCTTTCCATTGGCACCCTGAGGTGACAGGCCTGGCCAATGAGCCTGAGCACTGACAAGGTACATCAGGTAACACCACATCAATGGACCTCACAGAAATGGGATGTCCTCTGGTGATCTCTAGCCAACATCAGCAAAGAAAGAGGCTCGTCAACAGGAAAGCTTGCTCTCAACACATGTCTATGTGAAACCAGCGACACTGGGAGACAGGGAAATGTTAATGGACAGTAAGGAATGCCTGTCCTTTCTTCCTCTGTTGTCCTTTCACTGTCGTGGACAGTCTCAGTGTCAAGAGCACCCACACAAACTCACACTCTCCTCTTCTCTCTTCAGGTATTTATTCACCTCCAAAGTACACAAGGATGCTCTGCTGCCCCATTCCGTGTGGAACACTGGGCTGCAGGGCAGTACACAGACAAGACAGACACTACAGCAAGGCACCTTAGCCCACACTGGAGGTCAGCTAACTGGAGTTTGCTTAGGGAGGCTGAAGGCAGACTCTGTCAAGGTAATGTCTGGATCTGCTCTTGAAAATCAGGAGGCTAGTTGTCTACAAGGAGGCCCTGAGAGTGCCCGTGTCGTTATTAAGAGGCTAAGACATCAACCATGTGGGCTTTTCTCCAGATTATGGCTGCTCAGACTAAGACCAGGGCTCACTGTCCCCAGGGAAACTTGAAGACCAGGTGGAAAAGGCTCACAGGCAAGGACAGCAAAGGCAACCACCCCCTGGGGGACAAGGTCTCAGACCCCAAAACCAATCCTCCCTAACTCTCTTGCAGTCAGGCCGGCTCCACCCCTGGAGCTCAGACTGGCTGCGGCTCCGCCTGCCCCAGCCTGTTACCTGCTTCCCCTTCACCACATGCTTGGGCACCGGCACCCTGACCTCCAGGTCAGTGTAGTCTTGGGACCAGATGTAGTTCTCCCGGATGGCACCATTGTAACTGTCCGGATTTTTCTGGAACTGCTCTTGAATCCTGAGAAAGAACAGGAAAGTGAGATGAAGCTCAGCAAATCCAAGCAGAGAAGTCCCAAAGCAGCGTCACAGGTGTTACTCCTATGCCCCAGGGAGGGGTCAACACAAGTCTCAAAACAAAAAAAAAGAAAAAAGAAAAAAAAAAGCTTACTTGTGGTGGTATTGTGCACGCTAATAAACTTATCTGGGGTCAGAGACAGAACAGCCACAACATTAAACAGAGGTTAGGCAGTGGTAGCACACGCCTTTAATCCTAGCATTCCAGAGGCAGAGATCCATGTGTTCAAGGATACAGCCAAGCATGGTGACTCACGCCTTTAATCCCAGGGAGTGGTGGTAGAAAGCAGAAAGGTATATAAGGCGTGAAGACCAGAAACTAGAAGCATTTGGCTGGTTAAGCTTTCAGGCTTCCAGCAGCACAGTTCAGCTGAGATCCATTCGGATATGAGGACACAGAGGCTTCCAGTCTGAGGAAACAAGACCAGCTGAGAAGATGGCCAGGTGAGGTTAGCTGTGGGCTGTTCTGTCTCTCTGACCATCCAGCATTTCACCCCAATACCTGCCTGGGTTTGATTTTACTAATAAGACCTTCTAAGATTCCCTCTACACTTACTTGCTTTCTGTATCTGTGAAGGTCCCTCTTTGGGGCAATTTCCTTTGTGACACTCCTATGTGATCTCCCAGGAAATCACAGTTCTGCTTGCTGCCAGTTCAGAACCAGGCCTGTTAAGCAGGCAGCCACCTTGGTTAAGAAAATCTGGCTCATGAGTGCTGGGTGTGATAATGAACTGCTGGGAAGAACTTTTCAAAAACCTCTATCCTGCAGCTGCTTGACTTCAATCAACACTAAGCCTCTCTTTCCTCCTAGTATGTAAATCAAAGCCCAAAGGACTGCATTTAACTGTGCACATCATTAGTAAGAGGTAAGCAATCCATTTAATGAGATGGCCTAAAAAACCTAGTCGACCAAATCCTATTACATACCTCCATTACAAACCCAGCACATGGACAAAACGGTCTAGCCAGGAAGCAGATGTTAAAGATAAGATACAAAATCTGTCACAAAATTTACCATGTTAACCATAGAAATGCCTTTTAAAGATGAGTTCACACTCACAAGTTCACTAAATGAGTTGAGGGTCTAATTCACAGACAAAAGCTTTGTCAGCTGACAAACCGGCAGGCCGGGAGCTCCACACACTATAAGGTGTGCATGTCCTTCCACTCACTCCAGAAAGCACAAGGCTGCAAGTGCCTGCAGCCGTCCTGATACAGAAACAAGACCAGGATCAGGGAAGAGGACAGACACACCTTTTCTCACTCAAGTTCTAAAATAAGATTGTCTTTACCCACTGTATGTGTACCATGTCTCCATACAGTCAAGAGACGTGGTCTCCAACATGGCCTGAATTCTCTGGGCCAGGTAACAGGAAGCTGTTGAGAGATGATTTGTGTCCTCCCAAATGATATCCTTGAGTCTTAACCCTGAGGTCTCAGAAATGATTCAGTTACAATCAGGTCATTAAGGTGGGCTTTAATTCATCATGACCACTGTTCTTAAAGGGGAGACTCTAGACACAGACTGATGCAGGAAAAAGATGTAAAGGCAGCCATGAGGGACAGGCAGAGGTTAGAAAGGTGGGGCAAGAACTGTGGGCCTCTGTCCAAAGCTGGAAGGCCAGAAGGATCCTTCCCAACAGCCTTCAGGAGTGAGAGCCAGACCACACTTGATCTCAATTTTTAGTCACAGAATTGGGAGAATGAGTGTCTGACTTAGGCATCAAGTCACAGTACTCGATGTGGTAATACAAGCAGAGAGCTGAGGAACGAGCAACTTTAGCACCCAGCACTGTGAGACCAGGCACTGAGCCATCAGCACGGACACGGACTTGAACGTCTAGGAGGCACTGTGCAGCACAGAGAAAACACACCTGGCTCCATGACTTGAGCGAACAGGGCAAGAGGAAGGCGCCGAAACGCAGAGCATGCATAGAACAGGTCCAGTACTCCAAAGACTGGAATGGGAAAGCTTTTAACACAGCAGACTGAAGGGGGAAAGACGTGTAACTTCTCTATGTGGATGGCCTCAACTTTCAGAAGAGGAAATGAACACACATGCCCAAGCAGGTTTGATTTGTGTGGTAAGAGAGTCTGACCTTTTTGTTCCCTTAGGTAATATTCAAATCCCGTACCATATGCAAATATTTTAACAACCAAGAGAAAAACAGTTATTGTAACAAGCATGGCAGAATGTACCTGTGGCCCCAGGATCCAGTGGTCATCCCAGGGCCAGCAGTAGCCCCAAGCCCCAGTCTGGCCCCTAAAGTCCCCTGGAATGGACTACAGAGAACGCAGGAACAGGAAGAAGTACTGCCTAGCCATCAAGCTTCCACAAGGATCTCCCATGTGAGCCCCAGTGACAGTACTGGGCGTCCACGGGCATGGACACACATGAATATGGGGTGGGATCTCTGAAAAAAAACCAGGGTAACAGTGGCTACCTCTACAGCTGGGAAGTAGGAAAAGAGAGCTCTCTCCACTGACAGCCCTATCCATGTTACCATGTAAAAATAGATGAAACTAGGAAAAACAAGGACTAGAGACATGGGTCAGTGGTTTAAGAGCATTTATTGCTCTTACAGAGCAACTGATACCCACATGGTGGCTCATAACCATCTGTGACTCCAAGTTCCAGGGATCTTGGTCTTCTGATCTCTGTAGGCACACAGAGCATTTACATACACAAAGGCAAAACACTAGCACACATTTAAAGAAAAAAAAAAACTTTAAAAAATAAGAATATGAAAACATAAATAAAAGCCATCCCACATAAAATTAAATAAAAACAAAATGGCCCTAGTACTTGGCAGAGATCTGGGAATAATCACAAAGACTTTTCAAAAGGTGGGAGAAGAGTCTGTACTAGGGAAAAGGCCCTGGATAGCGGTTTCAACATATCAGATCCTCATGCATACGTCAGTATGGCGTGTGGGCTCGCTTCTTCAGGGAGGTAATGCTGGTCTCAGCCTGACCCCATATTGGCCCCCAAGCTCTGCATTCCCATTAGAGACTCTCTATTTGTTGCCTGGGACCTGCTGGTTTATCTTCCCACTATGACCTTCCAGTATAGACCCCTGGTCCCCTGCATAGGCCTCACAGCCTCCATCTACAGTAGGCAGGAAAATTGTTCCTACAACAGCCCTAGCAAGTTGCTGATTGCTTTTTTTAGCACCCTGAATCTACATTCTCTTTAAATAAAGTTGATTATTTCCAGCCGACAGTATATAAAAATATGTGTCCTGTCAAGTGCAGGTGGCTCTGGGCCCCACCCAGCAACTCCAAGGCCACCCCTGCAGCTGTAGGCTGGGGGGGGGGGCAGGAGGCGGGGGAGGGGATGAGCAGCAGTGCTTCAGTAGCAGGATAGGAGGGAGCCGGTGAGTCAGCAGGCAGGCCTCACTGCAGCTCCCACTCTGCTCCTGCCAAGCAAGGGAAGAAGGCTCTGGACAGAGTAAAAGAAAACACAGAGCAGGCCCCACACCCTGCTGGGTACTATGGGCCACAAGCTCTAAATCTCCTTGAAGACACAGCAGTTTCGATTGCTAAAGCCTTCCCAGCAGGCCTAGACACCACAAAGTGGGGCATACTGGGAAAACAGACTCACCTGCAATAAGTGGGCGTGACTGGTATTGTGACCAGGAACCAGCATCATCTCAAGGAACAGGAACAAGACTCATGCATGAGCAGGAGCCCAACCTACTTTTGCCAGCCTGAAGCCCTGTCACTCAAAACAAACAGACCTCTTTGCTTCCACTTACTGTTTTTCAGTGTAAGGGGCTTTTTTTAAGATTTTAAATCAATAGGTTATATGCCCTGCCCACTATTTCTTTCCCAGAGAAAGTGTGAATACAGTAGGAATTTGCTACATGATGGGAAAGAGATAGGGGGTTGGCTTCTTCATAACCAGAGCAGAGGTGGAGCTTAGTGTTGCCGGGACATCCCTCTCCCCTAAGTAAGCCGTTCTTTCATACCTCTTGCAATCAATCCTGTCCACACTATAAACACTCACTGTGATCCTGTATAATGTGATGCAAAAATCACTGACACTGTGCATGGGTGACAATGTCCACCATCCTTGTCAGCCTCAGTCAACCTAGATATGATGAATCACACCTCACCACCCTCCTATGGCCTCCACTGTCCACTGAGTCATCAGGAGAGGAATCATATGCATATGCAGTGTACATATGTGTGCTATGGTCTGAAAATCTGTGTCCTTCCAAAATTCATGTGTCCTGTCCAAGCCTCACCATGACAGCATCAGAAAGTGGGGTTTGGAAAGGCTAGTGAAAAGGATTCAGTGCAATGAATAAAATTGCTAATGTCCTTATCAAAAAACCCTCAAAGAGCCGGGTGATGGTGGCGCACGCCTTTAATCCCAGCACTGGGGAGGCAGAGCCAGGCGGATCTCTGTGAGTTCCAGGCCAGCCTGGACTACCAAGTGAGTTCCAGGAAAGGCGCAAAGCTACACAGAGAAACTCTGTCTCGAAAGACCAAAAAAAACAAAAAACAAAAAAACAAAAAAAAAAACCCTCAAAGAGACCCCTTACTTTTTCACCATGTGAAGACACAGAAGGCATTGTGTATGAGGAGCATGCCCATCAGGCACCAAACCTGCCAACAACTGGATACTAAACTTCCAGCGTCTGAAACTGAGAAACAGATGCCTGTTGTTATAAACCACAGTCTATGGCATTTTGCTATAGCAGCCTGAACAGGCTGAGACAGAGTGTATGCACATACACTGTACCTATGTGATACATATACATGTGGGGCACATCTGTGGCAATGGGCATGCCATGGGTATGAGGCAGTCAGTAGAAGGTAGTCATTCTCTCCAACTTTGAACTCTGTGTATGTGTCTGTCTGTCTGTCTGTCTGTCTCTTTCCATCTGTCTTTCTCTGTGTGTGTCTGTGTCTGTGCCTCTGTCTCTGTCTCTCTCT